CTCTCTCTCTCTTTTCCCCCCCCTTCTCTCTCTCTTTTCCTCCTCTCTCCCTCTCTTTCGTTTGCGCTCTCCTTCTATTGATTTTTTTCTCTCTCTCTCCCCTCTCTCTCGTCTTTTTTATTCTTTCTCGTCTTCGGATTGGATTGTATCCGGGTGTCTCATGCTATAATACTGTCCTCCGTGGGAATGTTCTGGAGCCACCTTTTCGGAATAGATCGCTCTCTCAGTCGCTGATAGTAGTGATAATGGTGGAAGTTGGAGGTACGATGGTGTAGGTTTGGGTTGTATAGCTGCCCTTCATAAGGTGGAGTGGGGTCGAAGAGGGTCATTGCCAAGTGTGAGACAGTTTCGCGACTTTATGATTGTCCCTGTGCTTTTATCATAGCTTGGCGGTGGAATTTTTACAACGTTCTGTGATTGATTCCATTGGTTCGTTGCATTGAGTGATTCGTGACTCTTCCAATTACAGTTCCGCCTCGTGCATTTGTCGGCTGAATGATCTTGTAATTTCCGGATTGATCGTTATAATTTCGACTCTTTTCCTCTCTCTCTCTCTCTCTCTCTCTCTCTCTCTCTCTCTCTCTCTCTCTCTCTCTCTCTCTTGTTCCTTTTTTTTCCCTCCCCCTTTCTTGCTCCTTTTGCCTCTCTCTCTTCTCTCTTCCTTGGGTTCGGCCTCGGAAACACTGCTTTTGAGCGTCCTGGACGCCCCTCTGTTTTTACCCCAACTAAAGAATATTGGTGATCTTTTTCCTCGCAACCTTTCCAGGCTGTTGCAATCAGAGAGTCAATGAGCTGTCTGTTTTTAATCGACTTTTTGTATTCTCGAATAAAGCATCTTAAATTCTCAGGATGTGCACTAAGCTGCCTCGCTGTATATAGTCGCCATACCGTATGTCGCAGCTCGCCACGCCTTTTTTGGTGTGGGGGTTTAGTATCAATACTACACACTCATTGGACACCTGCGTCCGCCCGTTTGCCAATCGGGTGGTGAACTCCACCCGGTCGAGATGTGTACGGTGGTATGGGGAGTTATACTTCAGTGCAGTTTTGGTGTTGCATAGAGAAATGAATGCTACAGAGGATTCTTTTCGATTTAAAAACTGCTTTGCTCTTTTGATTTTTCACTCGTTGCTGTGGTTTGCTATGTGGCAGAGGCCTATTTTTTCACCAAATGGTTGGTATCATGAGCTCGTCCAAGGGGAGCAGGCATGGATTGGGCAATTTGATCCTCTGTCGCGCCCAGCTCAAGCTCTGATTTCGTTGGCGCACCCTAGGGTGCTGGAGTTCGTTAAGATGAACTCTCTTCATGTTCCCTACCCCTACCCCCCTCTCATCTCTGTCTTATCTTTCAATGATTGGGCGGACATCATATGGGCCTCCACGTATGATAGGGAGTCTTTCCCGCAAATGACTAAAGCGTACGTGTTAGCAGCTCTTGACATGAAGGAGGACGACCGGTTAGTTGACGCTTCGATTAGGGACGAGATCATGATGAAGGAGAAAGTCTTCATTGATCTGTGGAATGCCACCTCCGAATTCCACTCTGACCTTGTCCACCCTGCCGCATTGGATCCTGCTGCGTCTGAACCTGAATCGGATGATGATCTCCTCCTCACGGAAGAGGAGAGAGCCTTCCATGAAAAATTCCTCGCTGATTCTGGCGCCCAGTTGGCTGTTGGCTTGGCAAAGGAGAAGACCAAGGACGTCAACAAGTTCCTTAGGAATGCTTTCCTTCCTATTGCACCGCATAGATGGATAGAGTCGGAGGCTAGGGCGCTCAAAGACAAGATCTGGGACTTTGATACGTTCAATCATTTAGCTCCGATTACCGTTAATGCTTACGGACTCCTCGCGTCTCTCACCCCAGAGGAATGGGAAACCTGCCATGAGAGGGCTCTGGATGAGAATTCTAAGCTGATCAAGGGCCCGTACCCTAGAACTGCGGAGGCTATAAAGCTTCCCACTGTCGGATTGTTTGATCCATTGAAGTGTGCGATCTCTCCCACTTCTCTTGCGATTAGGGGGTTCTATGCAGCAAAGGGTCAGCCTGCCCTGGTCGAATTGAAAAGGATCTGGAACGTAGGCAGGCCTTACCTTAAGTGTCGTTGTCTTGAATCTGGATTACCAGATTGCAAGTCCAATATTACCTGGTTTGATCATGTGTTGTGGTACTTGCTTGCTAATCCTGATTTTCTCTTCCCAGCGGCCCCAACCCTCCGAGCAAAGATGAGGGCAATGAGGACCCTCCTGAAGAAATCATGGAGGGCCCCGGTCCTGGCCAGCGTGGTTTTCTCGGACATGCGGAACATCATGGTCAAAATGGCGCATTCAGTAGTGCAGAATCCTGCCAGAAGGCAGGAGAAGATCCTTGACGATGGGGTCTTGATGATGAGAAAGTTTCCCAGGAAGATGGCTTCCCTGATTCTCCCGGACAGGTACCTCAAGAGTACATCAAAGCGCAAGAAGCAGGAGAACCGCAGGAATCCGCAACCCAAAAGGCAGGCGAACACGCTTCTATCGTATTATGTTAGGCCGCGCGCTGAACCAGAGGACGAACGGCAAACAGGCGGATTGGACCAGCATGCTGCGTCTGCCACCCCTCAAGGTTCTGCTCTTTCTTTTCAGTTGGACGCAGTAAATTCGGCTTCTAGCAAGCAGCTGCAGTGGAGCGGCCGGACTGGCGCAGCGGCTAGGAGCCTGTTCCTCCCTTAGGACTGACGTTTTTTTTGCTCTCTGTGCCATAGGTTTGATGATGTACAGCTAATAAGTGGCTAGCTTTCCCCTCTTATGTCCCCTTCGCTTCTAATTTGGAGTTTTGTATATACAGGGGGAATCCAAGGACGCCGGTGGCATTGTTCGTGGAGAGGATGGCAGGAATAAGTGGCTGCCTGCTCCCAAGCAGAGAGCTGAGCTGTATGTCCACACTAAGTACGAGAACAGGGCTATGGAAGCTGTGGGGTTCAGGGCCATTGTAGAGAGAGCCTTTGAGGAGTTCTTCTCTCCTGCCGCAGTTATCCTCTTGGCAACTGTGGTGATTGGTTGGACCTATTATGAATCATTGGATACGTTGGTTTACAGGCCTTCCTTTGTGTTCAAGGATTTTATTCTGAACGAGTGGTTGGATTTTTGCAGTCGTACTGCCAGTTGCCCATGCAACTTGGCCAGATTTCAGCCTTTTCACTCTCCCGGGACAAGGGATATGTCGCAACCCTTCGTTGAACCTTCGTCACATGTCCTCACCCTTGATCCCTCGATAGCACAGCATAAGCATGTTTCTTACCTGCTGTCCCAAGGCTTGAATCATATTCCCCCTCGTCCTCGCTCGATCTCTCGAGCGCATATGCGTGACAAAACATTCATCCCTTCTGCTGCTGAAAAACTAGCCACGGCGTTTGTCAGGAGTAATGTTAAACGAGAGATTGCCTCCCTTGGCCTCAGAAAGCACTCTGACCCCCCCTATCTACTTGGTTCCCACTTGGTTAGATTGGAAATTAACTTTCTCACGAAGAATTTGTTTATCTCAGGAACGGATAAAGCGGCTAACTCCCCTTCCTTTACCTGTATCCACCTTGTGAGGAAACTTGCGTTGGATCGCCTCTCGGGAAGTGATTTTGTGAAAACTGATTTTGCCATGGACGAAATCATGGAGGAAGCCCTGGAATCACTTTCGCAGATTTCTCCCTCCATTCACCGTGGCCCAACGAAGCTCCCTTACATAATGGCTTTATATAAGCATCACAAAAGGTCTTTCAGGTGGCTTACCAATGCTGCAAACACCTTTCTCACCCCGGTGGCTTCCCTCTGTGATGACATTATTAAAGCCCTTATTCCTTTAGTAAAATCCTCCTGCAATGATGTAACTGAGCCAGACCAGGCTTGGGGTCGGGTCAATGAAATCCAGGTGTCCCATATGAAAAAAAAAAAAAAAAAAAGCATATGTAATGTTACCACGCGGCCACGCCAAATGTTTGGAGGCGTCTCGGGGAACCCACGAAGGACGTGTATGCGTTTGGCCGAACGCAGCAGCTGAATTATGTAGAGTCTAGAATCTAGATCCCACAAAAGTAAGAAGTGCAAAATGGCAAAGAGAAATGAATAGCAGTAATTATGATGAAATTCGATAAAGCCCAAATGGCAAAATGGCCAAAATGGCCAAGAGTCTAGATCCCACTATGTAGTGTCTGGATCCCGCTATGTAGAGTCTGATTGCCACTATGTAGAGTCTGGATCCCACAAAAGTCAAAAGGGCAAAATGGCAAAGAGAAATGAATAGCAGTCATTATGATGAAATTCGATAAAGCCATTTACCACCACCCACCTCCCACTGAAGATAATTTTTTTACTATCTCCAATTTTTTTTTACCATCTCCGCAAAGATTTTCTGCAACATTCCACTGACTGGCCCCAGGTGAGTCATAGTTAGTCTATTCATCTGAATCCATCAGGATTCGAACTTGGGTCTGTTTAGGAAAGGTTCATGGGTTTACCATTCCGTCCAATTGGCTTGGTTGTATTATTATTGGTGTATCTAGACTCAAAAGTTGCGCAAATACAGCTGTAATGACGATATGTTGTATTCGGGCGAAGGCAGTAGATCCCGCCAACAGGCAGAGTGGCAATCGGTCAGGCTAAAGTGCCAACCCTACAACCATCAGCGACGGGGGTTCGTGCCTCTGGCCTAGTAAACTACCGTCTTCACCCGGATACAATGAACGCCGTACGGTCATTATTGATGTGTCTAGACTCAAAGTTGCCCCCAAATACAGCTATGACAACCGCAGGTTGTATTCGGGTGCAGGTGGTAGGATACTACATCACATCTCCCCAGCCCGCCCTTCCCCTTAACCGCCCCCCTCATCCTCTTTCCCCACACCCAACTAGAAAAAGCAACGATAACATTCTTGAGAAAAAGAGCGTACAACAGCATAAAATACTCACTTTCATGCGCCAGCGGCCTAGCTCAGTTGGTTTCACACGCAAGTGGCATTCGGGAGGTCGTGGGTTCAATTCCCCACGGCTGCCTGCAGCATTGCTTGGTGCTCACCAGCTGAGATAGTTGGCTTGCCTCCCTGGTTGGTCTTGGTAGGGTCCTCGGTTCTCCTAGAGGCCTTCGCCCCTGTGCCACTCCTCCGTGGGGGCTACCTTCTTCTCCCGAGTACAACGTATGGTCATTATAGCTGTATGTGAGGCATCTTTCAGTCTAGATACAGCTATAATGACGGTATGTTGTATTCGGGGAAAGAAGGTAATTCCTAGGCTTGGTAGATTTCATTTACTCCCTGTAGATTTTTCGGTTGGCCCTTCCTTGTGTGCTTTTAGTCATATAGGTAGTGTAGGGTTTTTTTTTTTTTTTTTTTTTTTTAGTGTAAGTCATACAGTTATACTTGAGAGAAAAGTATAGCTCAGTTTTTAATAGAATACTGGAAAGATTCCCGGCCTCCTTTCTGTTGTGACAATGAACTGCTTTTTTGTCAAATAAAAAAAAAAAGAAAAAAAAAGGAATACTCACTTTCATCGTCAACACTGCCACTGCGCGTCGCCAACGAGTAATTGGCCACAATATCACTGTTGATTGCAATCGCCCACCGCATAGATCCGCCTGCGTCAATGAAGACATGCATTGGCTCATCGTCCCTCCTAACACTGCTGCTGCGGCTACTACCACCATTTGGAACTAGCTCGAGCTTCGGCGCCCTTAGAGTGCTGTCGTCAAAAGGCTGGGCACGGTAGTCCGTTCCCTTTGTGCATGCGTAAGTGACATTGAAGTGCACAAAATCAATCAGCATGTCCTTCTTGCAAGACAGACCTTCCACATTCATCGTCTTCACCTCTTCGTCCAGAGCGCCTGGGGTGAGTGAAAAAAATGTCACGAACCCAGCTGACCTATCAGCATCGAAGTAATGCATAACCTGCACCCAAAGTTTTCCCAAGTTCAAAACAAAGACCGATTACTAATTAGCAGATTATATATAGAGATTATAGAGAATCTCCATAAATATTGATAGATGTCTTTATTTATTTTTTTTCTTTATTTTCATTATCATAAAAAAGCTCGAATGACCCCGAGAGCGCAAGGGGTCAGGAAAAAAACAGTAACAACACGCCTCGCTCCACTGGACAAAAAATTCTAAATGTACCTTGATATCTCTTTGGTCCCAATACATTCCAAACTTTCGATCTGTCCGAACATATCGGTACAAAGAACTGTCCAGATACATGTTGAATGTCGAGGAGTCGAGCGAGGCCGAAGACGACTGGAAAGAGAGGTTGCAGAGGAAGGCGACACACTATGACGGCAGGAAGACGGGAGAAAAACAAACAAACAAAAAAAACAGAAAAAGGTGGCAAGACGAGACTCCAAAAAAAAGAAGATGACACACTACAACTGCACGAAGACGGGAGAAAAAAAAAACAAAAAAAAAACAGAAAAAGGCGGCAAGATGAGACTCCAAAAAAAAGACGACGACACAAGGCGAAGGGTACAGTTGACCCCACTTAGTTGGACCATCTAGCTGAATGTCACACACAAACATAACTTTTGCTAAACAGAGGCCAAGAGTCCCACTAGATGGTGTTCTTCATTTCTGGCCATGGATCTGTGTATTCCCGCCACAATCGGCGGTCAAGAATGAAGAACACACGCCAGTCGGACCTGACCCCAGATCACGAGTTCGGATGCTGACGGCGGGAATCACATCGACGTATCGTCATAGAGAACTGGCTCGGTGAACCGTAGGCAGAGAGGGAGAAGAGGACAGCAAAGGAGGGGATGTGACGGACTGTTTCGTCAGACAGAACTGCCCAGTCAACCAGAGGCAGAGGGGGAGAAAAGGGAGGGGGAGAAAAGGGCAACAAGCGAGGGGCTACGGACTGCTTTGTCAGAAGTTCCGCGACTTGTCAGAATGACAGACTTCTTTGTCAGAATTTCCACGACTCGTCAGAAGGCAGGGGCTACCCCCCTTAAAAAGAAGGGGCTCATGAGTTGGACTCCTGACGACTCAAATGCATAATAATGTCGGTGGCTACAGCGCTTAACCACCAGTACACCCACGTCCGGAGGTGCTCCACTGCGCGCGGCAAGCATTGCCGAACCGCCAGCAGCGCACTTCGTTTCTTTTTGGGCTGCCGCCGCCGGCCATTGTGGTCCAGTAGGCCTGAGGGGCAAAATTTTTGGAGCAGGCGATGGAACATTTTCTGCAAAGGCTGGGGCCGTGTACTGGCGATTTGAAAAAAAGGTGGATCATGAGTTGGAATACAAACGGAATCACATTTCTAGCATTTCATAGTATGCATACAATATAACGTCATGAGCTAACGGCCTTGTCGCCACGCCCCTCACCCCACCCCCCCACAAAAAGGATGATCAGTGATCAGCCGAAATACGAAGTTAATCACCACTACCTCCTGAAAGATCAGGCCAAAACCTGTAGACAGAGAGAAAACACCTGTGGCTGTTAGATCGTCAATCCAACGGGCCAATTGAAATGGCTGGGCCTCCTGGTAGACAGGGCAGGAGTAAAGTGCAAGTGAATAGACCCGCCGCCTCCTGAAAAGTTGTGCCGAAGCGGCCAAACCCTTCAGACAGAGATAAAAGAGAAAAAAGAAAAGTGGTCATCGGGTCGTCAATGATCAATCCAACAGACCAGCTCCTGGTCGCCAGGGCAGCGGTAGAAGATGCTGGACATGACTATAATAACTTTTTTTGTTTGAAAGAATTGCGATGCTAATCTTCTCTGTATAATAACTAAAAACTCAATGTCGAATAGCTGCAGGGCATGACTATAATAACTATATAGACTCAAATTCACTCAATGTCGAAGTCGATAGCGATCCCCCATCGAAGATAATGAACATGAAATTGCAGAACTTGACGATAGCCAGATCACCAGTCTGGGGTTGACAGTGTGGCCATGAAATTGTACGTACATTTACTTTGCGGGTGAGCGTATCCGATAATGGAGGAAGAATCTGCTGGTGCACTGTGAAGAAGGATGTGGCCATTATGAACAAAGAGAACCCAATCAACCACAGTGTAGCACCTGCACATATGAGCAGAAAATTCACAAACAAACGAGTGTCAATTACGGAGGTTCTAGTACACTGCGCTCCACACGTGCAAGAGGTGGATAACATTATGTCCTTGAAAGAATTGTCAGCTCAGTTCAAAGGTCAAACACTAGAAAGAATGACAGAACAGGGGTCTGTCATTCTTTCTAGTGTTCAAAGGACAACCTATGGATGTACTGGAAGAGACGTTAAAATGCCAACTGGTTGCTGAGGGAGGGAGGGAGGTAAGAGAATAAGGAAGGAAAAAAGGAAGGAAGAAAGGAAGAAGAAGAAGAAGAAGCAGAAGCAGAAGAAGAAGAAGAAGAAGAAGAAGAAGAAGAAGAAGAAGAAGAAGAAGACGATGATGACGACGACGAAGAAGAAGACAGGTGTCTTATGGTTCTTGATGACAAGAAGCGGGAGGAAGATACTTTGCTTCTACTCTCCCTCGACCTCCTTTATGGAGGGTTACACTTTTGCGGCTTTTCCCCTATTCTCCCTCTCTCCCTCAGTCCCTTCCAACAGATAGGTAGAACTTCCGTTGGTCTGACCTTACAAGTCACCACAATGCTGACTGTTTGAGGAAACAATGTTCTGTAATTTTTGTCTACAACAAGAAATAGTACAATAAGGATCTGCACAGCTGGCTTGGGGTGGAATAGTATGGTACACATAGAGAATTACAGACCACAAGGAAAGAAGCTCAAATCCCAAGCAGTAGCAAGGTCACTACATGGTACCTACCACACTCCCTAGAGGCTGTTCCTGTGCTGGCTCTTCCTGAATAAGCAGGTAGAGGGTGGTTCTGAAGGTGCAAGTAAGGGCCACAGCCCCCTGAGGCAATGTTTGTACTATGAGATACCATGACCCCACCAGGCATTTTCACAAGGAGGAGGAATGACTGTAGGTAGCAATGGTGGAAGGGGCAGCAGCAACGGCAGCAGCAGATATGCAGGAGGAGGGGAAGGATGGGGAGGAGGGGTTGGTGGCAGAGGAGGAAAAAAAAGTTGTAGGTTTTCACAGTGGGTTATGTCACCATTCTGAAAACTGTCAGCCCTGATCCTCTTGGAGACATCAAGACATTCATAATAATCATATATTGATATGATGTAATTAAGGGGGGGGGGGGGAAAGATATGATGTTGGATGGTATGGTATTCTTGCGATGATTCGATAAAGATTCAAAGTTTCAAACTCATTATCTATTTGTGAGCAATTTTCTGTGTGTGTGTGTGTGTGTGTGTGTGTGTGTGTGTGCACTATTGCGAGGTGCATGGCCTTGGTAAGGCCTACTGGGCCCTGTTATCAGCAATGCCGGCCTCCCAAAGTGAAGGCAGACCCGACCAAGGCCGAGAGGCCTATTTTTGGCTACCACGCAACTGGGGAAATTCAGGCAGTTGCGCAGTGCCAGTTGGTTGAGAGCGCCCAGGCCCTGGCTGCCTTTTTCGTATGTAACTGAGGCAGGCCCTGGGCCCGATACGCAACATGGACCGAACACAGGCTGCGGGCAGTTGAACACGGGTAACCGCCATAGGCCCTGGGCCTGATTCGTTTGGACTGGAGCTCAGCCACTTGGGGCCTACCGGAAGCTTCTGGGCAGGGGCCCAGTGCAGCCAGACCGCACGCAACAGGCAGGCCACTTCCATATAGGAAAGTGCCTGCCCCCGCATTTGGCATTCGGGCACTGGCTGCATGCTGCGCAAGCGCTGCTGCGCTAATCGCTGGCCAGCGCCCACACACTCAAGGGCGAGCAGGAAGAGCAGGCAGCCATACTTTTTACCTCCTGCGGCACGAGCACGGCACCAATGTCATATTGACTGGCATCCGTGGTCACAACGAAAGGCTTGTCAGGATCGGGCAGTTTCAAGACCTCATGGTGAGTAAGGGCATGCTTCAAATGTTTGAAAGCAGCCTCACACCTGTTTGTCCACTCCCATGGGGTGTCAAGGCGGGTTAGGTTCGTCAAAGGGGCAGCCACTGTACTATAGTTCTTCACAAAATTAGTAGTCGGTCATCCCTAAGAAGGACCTCATCTCAGTCACAGACTGAGGACGCGGCCAGTCACGAATGCTGGCCACCTTCGCGTCATCGGGCTTCAATCCCTCTGCGGAAATCTCATGACCCAGATACAAGATCCGGGTGCGGCCAAACTCGCACTTCTCCTGGTTAATCTTGAACTGGTGCTGTCTGAGGAGACTAAGGACTTTGTCTAAGTGGGCTACATGCTCCTCGACAGTCCTACTAAAGATAAGTATGTCATCGAGGCACACGATGACGAACTTGTCCAAGTAGTTATGGAAAATCCGGTTTATCGCGTGCTGAAAGGTGCCAGGAGCATTGCAAAGGCCGAAAGGCATCACCACAAACTCGTACAGAGCGTACCTGGTCTGAAAAGTGGTTTTGTGTTGATCCTCGGGCCGTATTGCAATCTGATGGTACCCGGACTTCAGATCTATCTTACTGAAGTACCGGCACCCTTGCACTCGGTCCAACAAGTCATTGATGCGCGGTAGGGGCTCTGCGTTCTTTACTGTGATGGCATTAAGGCCCCTATAGTCAATGCACATCCTCAAGGTTTCCCCCTTCTTTGGCACGAATAGGACAGAAGATCCGTAAGGGGAAGCGCTCGGTCGGATCCAGCCCTTCTCTATGAGTTCCTTGAGTTGTCGGCGAAGCTCATCAAGCTCCGCTGGAGACATCCGATAGATCCTACCCTTCGGAATACTAGATCCTGGTATAATCTCTATTGCGTTGACAACCTCCCTCTCAACAACCCCTTTCGGCTCTTCGAATAGATCAGGGTACCTAGCGACCACTCACTCTATCTCTGGAGGTACTTGCACCGGCTCACCCTCTGCAGAGACGTAAACTAAGTACATACCCTTCTCCGGATTTTGCTTATAATAGTTATAGAACGCGGCCGCACACATGCATCCGTAGGACTCAATCAGACTACTAGCTTTAAACTTACGTAATCTGGCGGTCCCCCCTTCGGGCAAAGTGTGTTTGACCACTTTTCGGTCCGAGTCAAACTGGGGGTGTGCAACCGAAAGATAGTACATACCCAATAGGATATCCATTGCGAGATCGTCGCTGACTAGGAACGATGCTCGATGTCTCCGATCCCCTCCCGCGTATGGGAAAAGACACTCAATGTCTTTAATGTAGTCAGTGACTACCATGCGCTGTTTGTTGGCACAGGTCGACTCCACAGGTCGACTCAGGCACTGCACTTACCCGTGTAAGTGCAGCCTCTCAACGCACGCGCGACTAATAAAGTTTTGCGTCGAGCAAGTGTCATAATAGGCCCCGGCCTTGCAGTCGCCGATAACTACCTCGTCGACGAACAACTCACCCTTAGGGGCTTTGGCCACGGCCGTCCATGAAGCTAGTGGGTCTGATTTAGACCACTCCTCCTCTAGCTCCTCTAAGGACTCGAACACGTTCATCGAACAGAGGATCGATGGGTCTGAATGTGTTTGCGGGACGACAACGAAGTCAGTAGCTTGGGCCATTTCTTGAGATGGTGAGGGTGTGTCCACCGCCTCGACCCTAGCAGGAACAACTACCATTCCTACTGGCCCCACGTGTTTCCCGAAGCAGTGCCAAAACTGCTGGCAACATTGCTACCCTGGGAAGCGGATGATCCCGTCGCCTACCCCATTGTAGGCGGGATCGTTTTCGTCACCTTTTTGTTTCGGCACTTGAATTGGTTATGGCCATATTGGCCACAACGGATACAAGTCTGCCGGGTGTGCCGGTCTCTCCACACGTCCTCTGTGAGACCCGCTTTCTCCCATGGTGGAGCGTTGGGGTCTACTTGACTCCTTGACCGAAAGCCTCCACGGCGTCTACCGATCGCCTTACCTTCCTGGACTGAGGCAGCGACTTCTCTACCCACTGAAGCCTCTACGCTGCCCGCCTTTGAACCTACTCCCTCCTGGAAGTCATCATCTAATTCGATGGTGGAACCATCATTATCAACGAACATAATGCGACCCTTCGCCTTCCAGTTGGGAGGCACTGCCTTCTTCCGTGGGTTGGTGCCCATGCCCTATCTTTGCTTCTAGGTCTAGGGCCTTCTTGCTAAACGAGAGGAAGTTGTGCATGGTGATCTGGGCCTCACCTGCCAACTGATTCCTGAGTGGCATGGGAAGACCTCTCAGGTAAGTGGTAAGCAAGACTTGGGGTTCATAACGCGGGCCTCCTGAGGATCATGGCACCTTTCCTCCACCAGCATAAGGAAGTTATTCAATCTGGTTGGTTGTCCAAGCGCGGAAGTCATGACCGTACCCCTGTAGTTGCACTAGCCCACTTAACCATCTTGCTGCACTCCCCTCCAGGTAGAAGGCAGCCACAAGCACTTCCTCGTGCGGCAAGGTCAACTTGCACGTCACGTAGACTGGCACTGACCTCAACCTGAGAAGGGTTTAGGCGAGGCGATGGCAGTCTTTGGAACCCACTGGCCTTGTCCCGGTAGCTGCACCACTCCGGGCTGTGGACCCTGGGGTGCAGGCTGCTGCACTACCTACTGTTGGGGCTGTGTGCCCTGCGGCTGTGCTGGCTGCGAGACAGCAGGCTGCCCAGTTACGGCAGTCTGTAACGGAGGTTGGGAATACACCGTCTCTACAAGAATCTGTACACTAGGACCTGCGGAGAACCCGCCTGTCAAAGGCATACTTAATAGGGAAGCGGCCTGTACCGATGCTGGAGGAACTACAAATGAGGATACTCCAGTCACGTGTGGGACAAAAGGAGGAGGCTGTACCACAGGCCAGGCACCCGGCCCTGATGGTGATGGTGCTACCTGAACTCGCCCGGCTAGCACGACCAGGCTCTGCTGAATGTCCTGCAAGAGCGACGTGTCGTAATCCTGCATCTCTACTACATCTAGCAGGACTGCCCTCACGGTCCTCACATCATCATCCACATCAGTCAGGTTCATCTCCTCTAACTCCCTAATGTCCGCTTGCCTCCGCTGCATCCTAGATCT